CGTCAATTTTCATGTATATGTGCCCTATGTGACTTAATCTGATTAGTATTATAATGATAGCTGGAAACACTTGCGAGGGAAGCTTTACGCTAGACCTCGAAGTGTGAAAGCTATAGGCTGTGTTTTTGGATTAGACTCGTTTAGAACTGCCGGCACGATTAGCTACCTGAGTAAAAGCTGTCGTGACGGCCGACATTGCTAGTCGGTAGAGTCAAACGAGCTAACCATTCTGATGTTCGGCGTTGATCACCGAGTTAGAATTTTTCCTGGCAGTGATGCCAATGTTCGATCCCTTTTGGGGAAATTATTGTTGCCAAACCCTTTGTCCTGTCGGAGTACTTAAGATTGTGAGATTCGGAAATTGAAATTCCTGGTATGCGCCTTGAACCAAGTGCCGAACCTGACTGGGTGTAGCCACGCGAAGTGGTGGCCGAGCCCGCACGCCCGTGCTGAGAGACGTGAGGCCAACTGTAGTGGCCGATCGTTGACTCGCACGAGAGCTGCCGCCGCCATCACCGAACGCCAAACTCCCCAGGCCAGTGCGTACGGCCAAACCTTGACCTTGTAGCGGGTATCCGAGTGGGTACATGCACGCGTCCCAGCGCCCCGCATATGCAGCGCCAGCGCGTGTGTCACCTCTCGGGTGACAGTGCATTAAACCCAGTCCGACCTTGTCTTTGAACCAGATTTTTGGTCAAGGTGTATGTTGATCTTTTGAGTCGTTGTGGGAATTCCCTAATCAACAATCCCTGGTGTATGAGGCTTGTTGATTAGTTTCCTTTGCCACATGTGAGGATTTCTCGAGATGGCGAAATAGGAAATCTGTGTTGTCAGCAAACGGAGCCATGAGAGGTTACGTTTGTGTCGCAGAATCGTGTGTTGTGAGTATGAGTATAGCAAGGCTATATTGCGTGCATGGTTGCACATTTACCGTGACAATTGCTTCGGCAAGAAGTCACGAGTGTGTCGAGATTGTGGGTAAGTTTTTGGCGTGACCCGGGCACCATGCTGGAACTCAACTCCACATATCGACCACGATTGTTTGACCGAGGATATC